CCATTCAATCCTCACAACCAGTCATAGAGAAAAGCTGAGCAGATCACATCCAGAGAACAATGAAACGATGATAGTCCAAACACAGTATCACACTGGTTATTAAACTCAGAGTCTCGAATTGTCAGGATAACTTCAGTACTACAGTGTGCTGCTCAGAGATGAGCAGCGCTTCACTCCCCAACCCTGAGTAACACCCGAAACACCCCTGAGCCCCTGAAACATCAAGCGCCACCCAAGTACAGCCTCCTGGGGGCAGCGCGACCCTGAAACAGGCCTCTAAGGCCAAGCGCTACTCAGTGGATGAAGAAGAAGACCAGCGCCACAGTATCTGATGATGACGAAGTGTCGGGAGACTTCCCGGATGGAAGTCTTCAGCAGCGCCACCAAACCCTGACAAGATGACCTCTGAGATGAAGCAGCTGTAGCTATGGCTGCAGCGCAAACCCTCTGGGACCCCACTCTGGAGGAGGGTGCAGCAGGGCACCAATCTCTCTCGCCGCCAGCAGACCTCGATAACCCAGACCTCTGCCAGCCCCTGCATGCTGGCAGAGTACAGCGCAGGTCCCAGCTATGGCCTGCACTCCGAAGGTCTGGCTATGCCCGTCTTCTTCCACGCTGAGCCGTCACCACTTCGATTCACGCGTAGCACAACAGCGATGTACTCGGTACCAACTGCCAAAAGCCCTGAACCGATGTGCCCATCCTACTTCTAGCCTACCCCGACCTAGACCGGACGGACTGACCGACCGGTACCGTTTCAGTTTCGGCCTCTCGACCTCTACCGGACCAGGCTATAGGCTATAGGACCGTCTGTCAGAATAGGCCCTTAGGGCTTGTCTGTCTAGGGTAGCCCGGGCCTGCTATGCGCAGTTAGGTAGCTGTAGGGAAACCTGTTAGTACCGGGCGTGTATTTTTTCGGATTTGCAGATACGTCCCTCAAGAATTTCCCTCGCAGGTAGGTCTCTCGGTTAGCCCTCAGCCAAACAAAATTATGAATCTGTCCTACCTAAAGTACAACCTCGACAGAGAGAGGCTACAGGTGACCAGAAAACAGCAAGTCATTGCAGACCTACCCTGCCCCGGAGCGAGGACCTCCGAGCTAGGGGCGTAGGCGTGCAGAGCGCCGGAGGGATACACCCTTCTGTGCTGCCTCATATTTGAGGATGACTGACTTGGCTGTCATAGGAGTTCTTTGCGAATAAACTAGCGATCTTCAGTGTGTGGCTGGTATAAGAACTTCACAAGGTACTCCTTATCGGGGTCTGTCCTTGACTCATCGTCCACAGATTCGACCTCATACCCTTTGCCAGGGGTAGGGGGACCGAATTGAGGAGGCCTGTCTGGGAATGCATCAGCTGGCGTAAATGGCAACAACTTAGATGCATGAAAGACAGGGTAGGTTTGTAGATGCAGAGGGACGTCCACATTGTAGGATGGTCCAAATGGATCAGCTCCCACTATATCTAAGACCTGCCATGGACCCATGTATCGTGGGAGCAACTTAGGCGAAATATCCTCCTCTCGCGACGACTCAGAACTGAGTACCCACACCCAGTCACCTGTGCGAATAGTAGAAGGACGTCTGTGCTTATTAGCCTGCTGAATCATTGCCTTTTGGGCTTTCAGCAGGTTAGCACGGGCGCGCTCAATATCCACACGGTAACGTCTGGTGAACTCTGCAATCCCAGGCGTCAACGTAGGGGTAGCCTTATCGATGATGTCATCGAGAGGCTGCCGTGGCTCACGACCCCAGTGTAACCGGTACGGTGTGAAGCCAATAGAGGAGTGTACAAACAT